AAAAAAACTTATATATATTCATTTCTTTATTTCTTCTCAGTGATTGCAAATGGCCTTTGCAAAAAGCTATGGTTGAAAAAAGTTCCTCAAGTCAGGTACATCACATGTTCAGTCGAAGAAAATGACGGGATAATTAAACTAATGAACGTCGAATATGAAAAAGCCGTCAACTGGGGGACTCTCGAGATGGAGCATAAATTGTTTTCTTCTCTACACCGCCCTTTCTCAAAGCCCGTAACTTCTCCAAAATGTATTCTTGCATTCCCTGTTGGCGCCTCCAGCACTGACCGGGACCCACCCGTGACTATTATTAATACACTCTCTCCCGAGCGGCGTTCTTTCTGGTCGAGCAAAGGAGAAAATGACCATAATGCCCCAGAGTATCTGTTGTACAGGCTAACCACTAGTATAAGCATTGTGACCGAAGTTCATATACGACCTCTTGAAGGTTATTTGTTCTCTGTTAGTCTTTTTTATTACGTATGTAAAGTTCTTTTCTGTTATTTAACTTTTTTTTTTTCAGTATTTTGGGAGAATGCTCGACCTGTTTACTCAGCAAGGTCAGTGCGGTTTTTGATGGGTCACCCGAAGTCGGTAGCTGATGTGGAGATTGGTATATGTCCGATTGATCGACCTTCGCTCAACAAGTATGTGTGGACATATGTTTCACTGTGGTTTCCAATGAAACAGGTTTATATTTTTTTTTTTTTAAATTTTTTATAATGTGTACTTTTTGATGCGCGAAAGCTTTTATTGATCCTTGTATGGCTTAACTTATTCTTCAATTTTGTGGATTTATGGTGCCATTTTTAAGGAGCTTCATAAGTTTTCATCTGTTCTTTTGTTCTATGGTACACAGAGGGAGAACTACAGAAATCGCCCTTGAGCTTTGAAAGTTTTTACAGAAAAAAAAAAACCTCCTTTAATGTGTATCTTCTGGATCCATACTGAGACCATTGATTATATTTCCTTTCTTTCAATTGAGCCTGGAATAATGGAAAAAAAAAGGCAATTTTGATTTTTATAAATCATTGAATATCTTCACTTATGAACAGAAATCATGCTCGCAAAAATTCAAGCTGCCAGAACCTGTTATCTGCATTGGAGGGATTTTTTTGATTGAGCTGCTCGGGAGGGCCCAGAAAGACAATGCAGATGGACTGTTTTATATACGGTGAGTTCTGTAAAATTGTTCCGTTTTTCTTATCTCTGAACCTCAAATCTGCATCTATTATACATCTTGGTTTATAATCTTTAGATTAAGCGGTGATTTCAATGTTCTTTATGTTAATCGTGAAGCCAGTAGTTATAGGAGATCGATCATCAAAGCCCGTTTTTAAAGCCAGGTTACATGAAATCACGATGAACCAAGAAAATAGAAGCAAAGCTAAAAACTAAAAATTCTTGCATTTGGCTAGCTGACATGATGAAACAAGAAAACAAAAACAAGCTAAGACAAGTAAAACTCGAACATCTTGCATTTGGCTCTACTTCGGATTATGTGTGCAATATTCATTTGTTTTTCTTGCTCGATCTGTTTCAGTTTGGGTCATGTGAGAGTTATGGGGCGAACCCTTGAACCAGCTTTCCATGCTGAGATGCACTCATCGGGTGAGCTTCAGCTTAATTACTACCCTCAATCGCTAGACTCTGTTTTGCAAAGCTTCTCGGGCGAAAGCAAGGCTGCAGTTCAAGAAAACGAGGAGTTGTGTGTGGAGATGTCTCAGGGGTTGCTCGATTTTCTCGATGATGACGACGAGGATAACTGATTATTGCTTCTTATACAATTATACTGTCCCTATACAAATTTCAAAGTGTTTTTTGGAGATTTTCTTTGTTTCTTTTTTCTTCTTTGAGATCTCAAGTATAATCTGATCATAGCTGTTCAGCTATATTGGAGATGTATTTTGTTAGATATATAGTTTTTGAAAGTCACAAATATAATTGGCCCTATAGAGAAATTTTATAATTTGTCCAACAACTAACAAACATTTATAGGAGTTGGGGTTAAACTTTAAACACACCCAACTTGAGAGCACAATGTACCAAATTCATACATATAGGTAATTATTTCATGACATTTGAAACTTGAAAGCTTTATTTTGCTCCAAGTAAAGCTTTGCTTCAGGTTGTCTTGGTTTTTGGTTGTGCCGGGAGCAACTGCACGATGAAAATCGAAGCATTTTAGTACGAATATGATTTTGTAAAGTAAAATTGTATTTTTTTTTATTGGTTAATCAGATCATCATAGTATCTGTAAATGTACCAAAATGAAAGGGTGAATTTCAATTTTCACACACAATATGACTTTTAAAGGGGAAAAAAGTAGTAATAATAATAATAAAAAAAAAAAATATTACTTGATAGCAGGAGATGAGAGAGCTCGTGAACCCGAAAGCACCCGTTACACGAGGAGTGATTTTCTTAGGTGCAAGTTGTAGCAAGCCAACAGCAACAACTATATCTAAGGCTGCTTTAACGAGCGCTATAGATCGTTCGTTCGACTTCTGAACCTTACTTCGGTATTGCTCATCCTGCCATTCCGAAATTCACCGATTAAAACCAGATTTCGAGTTTGAATTTCACACAGAGACATATTTACCAGTTATTCTTAGAGTTTGTAAGAATAAACTCTGAGCAGCAAACCTTAAGTTTGTCAGAATTCTTGAGTTCCTTCTCTAACTTCTTCATTGACCCATACAGCCTCCCGATTTCGCTAATCTTTAATCAAAACGAACAATGACAAGAAACAATATTAAATAGTCATAGGCTGTGTTTGGTAAAGCTAGTTGATAGCTGATAAACTAACTTATATTTTATAAGTGATTTTCGAGCTTACAACTTATAGCTGAAAAGCTAGCTAATATATAATAAAAGTGTTTGGTAAAA